GCAGCCCGGGCCCCTCCTCGTCCCGCCGGAGCCCCCAGCACCCTGTGATTTGGAGGGAAAAAGGCTTTTCTGGGTAGCTGCTGGTGGTGCACCCAGTGAGGAGCTAGACCTGCTCCCAGAGTCCAGCAGCAACATTGCCCGCTGCTGCCCTCGCCCCAGGGAGAGTTTCCAGCTCTGGCTCCGGTCTGAAGCTGCCCGAGCACCCCTGGGTGCAGCACTCGCCAGCACGTATCCCTTGGGATGGAGGATGGGTGCTGCAGAAGCAGCTCTGCTACCCCGAGCCGAGGGACTTCCCAGCACCCCCGGCTCCGCAGGACGTTATCCAGGGGCTCACGGCCCGGGCAATTCCTTCTTCTCAGCCTGAAGAAGAGAAGGCTGCGAGGGGACCTAGTATATACTTACAAATACCTGAAGGGTGGGTGTCAGGAGGACGGGGCCAAGCTCTTTTCAGTGGTGCCCAGTGACAGGACAAGGGGCAATGGGCACAAACTGAGGCACAGGAAGTTCCGTCTGAACATGAGGAAGAACTTCTTCCCTCTGAGGGTGACGGAGCACTGGAACAGGCTGCCCAGGGAGGTTGTGGAGTCTCCTTCTCTGGAGATATTCAAGACCCGCCTGGACAAGGTCCTGTGCAGCCTGCTGTAGGTGACCCTGCTTCGGCAGGGGGGTTGGACTAGATGACCCACAGAGGTCACTTCCAACGCCTACCATTCTGTGATTCTGTGATCATAGTACCAGGTTATAGGGAAATACAGAGAACCAGTGAAAATATTGAGATCACGCCCCGGCGTGTCGCAGCCTCTCGTTTTCTCCGTTAGGTTTTGGCATCCAGCCTCTCCCTGCCCCGCAGGGTTTTGCTCCCTGACGTCCCCTGTTAAACCACCCCTTCCCTGATGTGCGGGGCTCTCCCTTTCTGTTCCAAATTTAACACCCCGGGAAGCTGCTTCTGCGAAAAACCTGGAGGTGTCACCACCAGCACTGGCCGGGTGTCCTCCGAGCTCTCAGATACCCAACGCCACGGAGTGTGAGGACCCCAGTTAAAGCCACACTGGCAGCGTGGGGCAGAGGGGACATCATGGGGACAGCAGTAACACCTGGGTTTGGGGCCCCAACCAGCCTCCTGGCTTGCTGGCCGGGACGTGGGAGCACCACGTCTCCCCAGTTAATGCAAGATTGGTTTCCATCACATGGCTCGTGACGTGCCTGTGGCTTTGCAAAGCCCCCCCAGCCCCCTGCCCTGCCCGTGATAGCCCCGTCCAGCCCAGACCTGCTCCTGGCTGGTTTTTCCTGCTTGCCTTTGCACCCCCCTGCTCCCCAAATCGCCCCCAGCTCCTTCCCCCCACCGTGTCAGGGTGTCTCCCTCCCAGCACCCCTTTCCCAGGGACCGGTGGCAGCCCAGGAGCGTGCTGCTGCTGGCTGGGACCCGGTCCTGGAGCGGGACAGCCCCAGCATCCCACACTGGTGCACAGAAAGACGCGTCCCCATCCCCATCCCATCACAGCCGGGACAAAAGCCCCTCGCAGCCGTCACCCTCCCGGCCTCAGGAGAGCTTTCCCCATCAGGGGACCTTTCCCCATCAGTGGGGCTCTGTGCATGGGGTGCTTCATGGTGGCCCAGCTCCTGAGCATGGCAGGGAGCGGTTGTGCTCTTCCCTCGGGAGCTGGGTCTTGCTGGGCTCTCCTGGAGAGAGCTCTCCCTTGCCTTTCCCACAGCCTGGCCAGCCCCTGCCCACAGCCAGCTGGGACACCTGGGACACCCTGCATGGAGCGGGCTCAGGGAGATCTCGGCACGTTTGTCAACCTGATAAGTGATGCGATGCAAAACGAGCGGGAGCTGCAGAGAGAGCTGATGGAAAGAGGCCAGGAGGAGAGAGGAGAGGTGTGTCCAGGGGATGGAGCTATTCTGGCCTTGTAAATTAATTTTAATAAGACATCTGTGTTCATCTGCTCTCCTCCACACAACCAAAACTCATCAGAAGTGGATTGAGTGACGTCTCTGTGGCCTGGAGGGTTTCCCTGCCACCATCCATGCCGCTGCCATGTGGCCACGCCATGGACCGGAGCAGGGCTGGCACCCACGGCAGTTCTCCTTCAGCAGGCATGGCCACCCTCGTCCCTGCGAGGGAAGAGCCCAGCGGCACAGGCGGTCGCGTCGGGGCAGCCGGGAGGGGAGGAGATCCCCGGTGAGAGGGTGCAAGGTCCCCTGGCTGGGCACTGCCCCAGCTGGGGAGGGAGATGGTGCAAGCACAGCCTGGAGAGAGGGACTGCTCGGGTCATTTTGTGAAACAAACCGTTTTTCTCCTGCCCAATCCACTCAGATGAGTTGCAAACAGATATCAGGGATCCATCACCAGCGCTCCTTCCCCTCCGTCATGTGCATGGTCCTCCCATGCCGGGCCTCAGTTTCCCTCCTTAACATTTGCCTGGCACTTCCCGAGCAGGCAGGGAGAGCAGCGGGCGTAGGCAGCGCTCCCGCTACTCATCTGATTATTTATTTAGAGCTCGGTGATGAGATTGCACCAGGCTGAATGCAGCCTCTCCATCTCCTGGCTTTGCTTACGGACGCGGAGTTGCGTCCCTCCGGAGCAGACAAAGGCTTTGCTGTTGTGCGGGAGGGAGAGCTCCCGTTATCTCCCTGCGAAAGCCTGCATGCAAATCTGATGAAGAACGACCGCTGAAAATCGTAGATCATAGAAAACAGGACTGGAAGAGCCCCCAGGAGATTGGTTGGTTTATGCTCTCCCTCCCTGGGGGATTCGCTTCTACCGGAGAGAAGCTGGGCTAAAATATCCTGAAAAATCCCAGCCGTGCTCTCTGTGTTTTCTCTATTTACCAGGAAGGTTTTCCTAATGTGTCACGCTGGTAGGACGTGCTGATGGGGGCTGTGCTTTTGTGCTGCTCCGCTGGGCAAGTGCAACGGTGGTGGGCACCAAACGGGCAGCGCTGCCTGCGCAGGACCCTGCTGCCCCTGCCCGGAGGCACCGGGCCAGCTCTGGGCAGGATTGGGCATCCCAGCAGGGCTCCCAGCGAGCACGCGGTGTCACGATCCGCAACACGAGGGTCTGGCAACCATGGAAAACCCCACCTGCACCCGGAGCAAGCCCGTTGAGGTGCAGCTGGTGGTGGCCTGGAGAAGCCTTGGGGCAGGAGGGCTGTGCTAAGGATGCGAACTCCACACAGCTGAGCCCAGCTCCGCAGCTGAACCCGGTCTTGCTCGGAGTCTCTCTGATGCCCCCAAAGCTGTGGGCAGGCAGGCAGGGCTCCGTGGGGCTGGGAAGGAGTGTGGTCCAGGCGGGGTGTCCACTTGCCTGTACTGGTATCATTGCTCTCCCGTCCCCTGGAGCCACCTGGCGTGAGGCAGGCGAGCAGCTGAGCACCGCAGCAGGGTGAGCTCTGGGGATCTCTCGGGGCTGGGTGATCCCTGGGTGGCCGTGCTGGAGATGGCTGTTGGAGGGGCTTCTCCTTTTCAGAACAAGGTTCCAGCTGTGGCAGGTAGCTCGGGTCCCTCTCCTTCGAGCAATGCTTTATACGCCCCAGGTTTCCACGCTTGGAAAAAACAAAGGATGTCTCAATGCTTTCTGAAGCAGCAGTGCTGCACACTCCGCCCGCTTGAAATTTATGTGGCCCCAAGGGCGCAGTGAGGTTCTGCTGACTCACACCTTTCTCTTAAAATGAAAATAAAATGGCCGGTGTGCCACCTTGGTGGCTGCAGAAGGAACAAGAAGAGCTTCCTGAGCACCAGCTGGATGCTCGCCCCTTCCCAGCCAACTGCTCTTTGCTGGTTTATGCTGTGTAAAACTCGGTAAAGCTTTCTGTGGTGATGCCAGCGGTGCCCGGGGAGGGAAGGGCTGCGGTGGGCTGCGTGCTCTGGCTGTGGGTGCTGGTGGAGCACAAGTTCACACTGGC